GGTCAAGTAGTCCAGACAAAAGCAATCTGCTTGCATTTTTCATCTGTGGACATGTTAGACTAGAGTTAAAGACCAAATTCAGGCACACTAGTGGGTGAAAGTCCATTGTGTCTAATTTCAATGGTGAGCCTAAGGATGTTTAAATGGTAATAATTACTACCTTCTACCTCCCTCTGTATGTTTTACAACTTAAATTTTCCTGAGGTTTAGAACTCATTCCAGAATTCACTCCTTTACCCAATAGTTCTGGATTTGATGACTAAATTTAAGGGAGTCTATTGGAATGTGAGTTTATGTTAGACTGACTTTCTAGGAGGCTAGAAAAAAAAGGTGTATATTATGCTGTTTTTAGGCTCTCCTCAAATGTACTTTGGCTCTATATTTGGCTCGCTGATATCATCAAGCCTGAACTGAGCTCCGACTATTATGTTTCTTTTCTGGGACACTGATGTTTGATACCTTCATCTTAACTTATATTGAAAAGTAAGCTGATATAGTAAGACAAGTTTCCTTCTGATCTACCAGAGTTTATACTATTTGTTTCTGAGCCTCATACCATATACGCTAGGGACTGACGTTCAAAAAGCCTGAGCCTGAATTGATTCAACCTTTGCAGGTTAGACTAACCTGCAAATTTGAACCAATTTGGAGGTGGATAAACATTCCCTTTTCATTTCAGAAATTCAGTCACATGCCAGCAGTAACTCAGGCTAGAAGCTGGGGGGTGCTGGAGCAGCCCTCCGTCCCCTGTACAGAGTTGAGCTGTGTGGGGTGTGGCCACGCCTGGGCATGATGCTCTGATTAGGGAGGGGTTTAAATCCCCACCCTGGCCTGCACCATCTTAGGCTTTTCTCCCCGCTCACTGCTCAAGGGGTAGAAGTGTTGCCAGCCCCCAGCCCCGGGCTAGCACTCTGAGGCAAAACAGGGGTGTGCAGTGCATGCATCTCTTGATATTGAGCTTTTCAATCTCCCTCTCCCTGTCTGCAAACCTGACAGGGCTGCAAACCAGCAGGGGACTGATAAAACCACAGTGTCCATCAGCAAAACAAAAGCCTCTCAAGCTCTTCTTAAACAGCTTTTTCCAAGGAAGGAACAGAGGGACATTATGAGCTGACCTGTTGATTAGCTCCAAAAAGCCCTAAGCAGACACTATTCTGTCTGCCTTTGTCCTGTCTGCCTGTCCCAGTGAAATTAGAGACACATATATGCAGACTTTTCTCAGCATTAGCTAGCATACCACATGTTTAGGGTCCATAGGTCTGGGGTCTGTGCTGTGGGAGATGAGAGGTAAGGAGGTGGGCAGAGAGCAGTGAGGGAAGCCAGGCAGACCCTGCTGTGCCTGCAGACTGCTCTGGAGCTCTGGCTAGGGAGGAAAGGGGCAAGGAGAGCCTGTTTTCTGGAGCAGAGAGCACAACCTAGCCCAGCACAGCTCAACCCAGGGCTGCAAAGCATCTGGGATGCTGGGGGACTCTAGTTTAACTTAAACCAGGAAGAGGTCTGGGACAGACATCACATAAACTGGTTTGACCCAAATCAGTTAAGTCTGATACTACATTCAACCAGGTTTATCTTAAACCAGTTTCAGCCATTTTGAAATGGGCTTATGTGCACTGAACTTATGTTCTGTTACAGGTTTAAACCAGTTTCTGATCATTTAAACTGGTTTGTGTGTAATGTCTGTCTCTAGCCATAATGCCTTACATTCTGAACCTAAATATTTCAGATATTCATGCTGCAAATGCATATTTCCTTCTTGACCTCACCATATCATCCCACACTATGTTCTCTTGCATTTCTGATTAAAGAATCATCAGGACTAAAGAAAATAAGTCTGTAGTCCATCCCTTAACAAAGCTTAGTATTCTTGCCTAGAAGAAGTCCCATCATGTCTCTAGTACCCAGTACTAATTCTTCTCTGCAGTTATTAGCATGGTTCTCCTCATATGAACCTACTACTGGTTAACTCTCCAGCCTGCAGCATACAAGCTGCCATTGGAACTGCCTTTTAATGAGGTCTGACATTCCATCCAATAGAGGGCAGCAATGATACTTCTAAAACTTGATTTAAGAAATCAAGCCACTCTCCTGGATCAGGACCACAGGTGCACAGAAAAATTGAGAGAGAAGTATCAGTCCTAAATTTGGGGATTAGCAGCAGGTAAGGTTAAATAAGATTTCACTAGTACCATGGGTAGGAAGGTTTAAATGGAAAGTCTGGCTGGACATGATTTATAGGAATTGTAATATTTTTGCCACAATATGATTTTTGTTTTTCTAAAGCTGGAGCATGAGCATGAGGATGTGGGAGGTACTGTTATGGGATGGGGTCCTGCAGGATGGCTGTGAGCTCCCAAGGCCCCCTTGCCATGCCAAGTTGGCCCAATGGGCATCCTCTATTCTCTCCTGCCACATCTGATTGAATGATTGAGAGGGAGGCTGCCTTTAAGTCCTCTTGGAGAGAGTCTTGATTGACTCTAGACCCCATGGGTTTCCAGACCCTGGTGGATCCCGCTCCAAGATAGATGTTACAACAGGTGTTTTGGGGCACCCTAGCCTTATGGGCTATGCGTGGCTCCAACCACCTCCTTACCATGTCCCAAGCTTCGCAGATGGTACCGACATTGTTTGGTCTGGGCCTTGTTATAATTTGGCCCCCTTGTCCTCCCTGGGCTCTCCGCAGCCCTGTCTCACTCTGTGCCCCGCAGCCCCACCAAGGGTTGTGCCCTCTCTGGCGCCAGGGTCTGTGCACCCCAAATCACAGTCCATGCACCCCAAATGCTGCACCCTCGCTGACACTAGGGTCCCCACACTACTGTGGGCTCCCTATGAGGCCTCCTCCTTCCCCTAATAACCTCACCCAAACCACCAGTCTTATACAACAGCAAACAAAACACAAGCCCCTGGGCTATAACATAAATTCAAACCATCCAGCTACAACATCATTCAAACCACATTGGGGGCTACTCCATCCCTCAACAGTATCAGAAGTTGCTCCTGCCTCAGGCCTCTCCCCTCTGTTTGCTCTGGGAGCTCCTTCCCCCTTGGCTACTGGCAGAGAATTACCTTCCTGGCCTCAGCCCTGGGGTTTATATATGAGACGAGCCCTGCCCTTTCCAGTCGTCTGACCGCTGGCAGGTGTGGGCCACTAGCTCGTTCTGGCTCCCCTAGTAACCAGCAGTTGGGGCTTCCAACTCACTGCTAGGACTCTGTAAAGGAGCAGAGCACCCTAGTGCCCTGCGACAGGTATGAAAGACAACCTTTGAGTTTGTATAGATTAAACTGTAAACTCTTTGAGGGCAGAGACCATACTTTCTTCTGTATTTGTATAATGCCTAGTAAACTAAGGCTGTGCTGGAAACAATTATGTGATGTGGGAGATGCATGCATTGAAAAACCCATGAAGGTTCACAAAATTGTAATAAAAGAAAATACCAGCCATAGGTCCTTCAAAGTATATAACAGCAACTTCCCTTTAGAGCTTTGGGACTGTAGTAATATAGAACTAAGTCTGAGCTACCATTGAGCTATCACTTTTAAGAGAAGTCCCTTTTAAGAATAGGCTTGAAAATATGAATTGATTACTAGGATTACAAGCTTGTCTTGTTTGTTTGTTTTTTCTTAAGAATCGTGGGCTATTCACAGTTCCCACTGTGCAAGATTAACCTTTGAAGCCAATGGAGCCCATAGCTGTAGGTCCTTTGCTATTCAGGGGAGCTTCGTATCAATTCACTGCTGTGTGTGTGTCAGGGCTCATGCTCATGCATCTGGTTCTACTGATGGCCTACAGCTGAGTTGATACCTCTGCTGACTAGCCATTGTGACCTCTGGCCCTAAGAAGGGCAGAACAATGTGGACTGTGTGTGGGATAAAAAAAAAAAGACTCCTATATTCTGATCTTGGCTTTTGACACCACGTTCTTTTGTCAATCTGCCTCCCCATTTTCTTGCAGTGCTTCATTGTCCTGTTTTGTGAAAGGAAAATAAGTTGGTCTTGCAGATTTATGTGCTGATTTATAAATGTAATGATTGTTAAACACTCTAAGAGTATTAAGTTTCACCAGAACGGAGAAAATCCTCCAGCAAATGGGCTGTAGGCCTGGGCTTATTTAGTCACATCATCTACATTTTTCAAACTATGTTGATTTTCCAGTCCCTCCTAACCCCTAAAGACACACAACAACAATAACAACAATAGCAAAAAGAGCTAGTTAACACTAAGTATCTTTTACAGTAGGGATAGTTCTTAAATTGTGTTTATTACTAATAGATTATTTGACCAGCCCCCCATAGAATACACCAGTCTGTATTTGCTCACCAATTTTTCCACCTTGTCAAAGCCCTAAACACTAATCTGCATAGGAGGCTCTGTTGAACAACTCCAGCATATAAATTTAATACCAAGTATTGTGAGCTACAATCTAATTACACCTAACCAAATGCATTTCCCTCCTCCTGCAGCACTGGACAATGTCAGTACACTTCTCAAGGGCCAGGCTAGCTACTGTGATGCAGTTCAATCTCACTTAAGATCCTAAGACCTGAATGTGGCAAAACTACACTCATTATTCTGTAACAGTTAGTGCATGTTAACGCAACTGACTTTAATGGAGTTACAAATCAAATATAAATTTGGCTCTCTTTCCAACTGTGAACTAAAATTTCAGTGTCGCTACAGTATTGGCTTACTTTTATAGTCTCTTCTTTTTATTGGAATATTAGTTAGACCTCATAAACAAAACTCTTCCTCTTAGAAGGAGGAATTAAACACACATGCAATCCTTTATTGTGCTGTTTTGTTTAACTGAATTGTTTTACTTTTTCATAATAAACTATGACTCTGGATTCTCTTCATTTTTTTTCCTTTGGGGATACAGTAGGTGAGTAGCTGTGCACATATAAGGTTGTTTAGAGCTGTACACTATTGCCATCTACTGTTCCCTGAATAAAAGAGCAGTCTTGTTGGCTGAAATTCTTGTATCACTCATTCACGTAACTTCCTGTGAAAGGCTCGCCCTCGGCACAGCAAAGTTTTTCTTCACTGCAGTGTGGATCTCTGAATCAGGACAGTATAGAGTAAACCAGGAAGTAAGTAGCAAAACTTCTTAAAGAAAGTATTTTTCCTTCTTGGCAGCATCTTAATTTTATCCAAAAAGGGTGTTGTTGAGTTTCCAAAAAACTGCTTGGAAACTTCAATATTTTGCTATTTACACAGATTAGATGCATTATGAAAGTGAAAGTAAGAATTGACTGCAGGAGAGAAGCATTTAACGTTAATTGTTTTCCAAAAGTCCATTGTGCCAATGAATTATACTTCTGTTTTGAAACTTGAGTTCTTCAAAAGAATTTGCATATGCAATTAAAGTTTTCTTTAATTCAAACAACCTATTTCCTGCAAATGCTTGTGAGTGGACAACTGGTTAGACTTCCTGTTTATTTTCTTCAACACACTAAACATTTTTTTCCCCTAATGTTCATTCATTTGTAGGGCTTGTCACCATGGACCCATTTTTATCTCTGCTGAATTCAATTTCTTTGAACCTATCTGATGGTGATCTCTCTTCCCTTAAATTTCTCTGTCGGAACAAAATAAGCAAAAGGAAGCTTGAATCAGTCAAAACTGGAAACGATCTTTTTGCCATCCTTCTTGAACAGCAGGAGATTACAAGTGATAAGATAGATTTTCTCCAGTTCCTGATCAAAACCCTTAAAAGAGATGATCTTGCAATGTGGCTAGAACAATTTGTAGAAGAAGGAGAAGGCGATATTGTTGATCAACCAGATATCAAAGAAAAACGTAAGTGGACACACTTTTTTGTCATTTTGCAAAATACTGTACCTTTTTAAAAATATCAACATATTTTTTAACACATACAAAATGCTTAAAGATATAACATTGGGTCAAGCCATGGGTCCATCTAGCCCTGCATCATGTATCTCAGTGGCACAAAGCACTGAAGTGGAGAGTATGTAGGGCCTATCCAAATTAATCTGTCCCTTTCCCTTCCCTTAAAAAAGGGGTTTTCAACCTCTTTGGATCAGTGTACCCCTGGCAGTCAGACACAGAGCAGTGTACCCCCAACACTATGTGCAAGCCTCCCCCGCTTGCCATGTCTGGCCAGGTGGGCAGTGGCAGTGCGGGATGGTGCATGGTGGCACTCTGTCCCGAACCACCCATGCATACTTCCTAGGGCCTTCTCAAGTACCCCGGGGGTATGTGCATACTGCCTGTTGCAGAGCACTTAGGTGCCCTGCTCCTAAAGAGTGGAAACTCCTAGCAGTGAGTAAGGAGCCCAGCTGTTGATCACCAGGGCAACCAGAGTAGTTAGTGCCCACACCTGCCAGTGGTCAGCTGACTGAAAGGGGCAGGGCCTGGATCCCTTAAAACCCCTGGGGCCTGAGGCTAAGAGGGCAGTTTCCTGCCAGCAGCCAGGGAGGAAGGAGCTCTCTCTGAGCAAAGCTGAGGAGAGGCCTGACCACAGGTACAGCCTGAGCTGGGTAAAGGATGGAGCATACCTGGGGTGTTTTAAGTAATGTGGTTATAGCTGGGCAGCTTCAGTTTATGTTATAGCTGAGGGGCTTGCATTTTGTTTACTGTTTAAAACCAGTGGTTTGGGTGAGGCTATTAGGGGTTGAAGGAGGCCTCATAGAGGACCCACTGCAGTGTGGGGACCCCAGAGCCAGTGAGGGCGCAGCATTCAGGGTGCACTGACCCCAGCTCCAGAAAGGAGGCAGTTGAGGAGCCCCAGAGAGGGGGTGTTGATGAGGAGCCCCAGTGTGGGAGTGGTGAGCCCCAGAGAGGGGGGCAGTTTTATTGTGAGAAGCCCTAGAGAGGGAGTAATCTTGGAGAAGCCCCAGGAGAGGGGGCAGTGAGGAGCCCCAGGAGAGCGTTGGTGTGCCAGAGAGGGCGCAGAGCAAGATAAGGCCACGCAGGGCCCAGAGAGCACAAGGGCGCCAAATTATAACAAGGCCCTACCCGAACAATGTCAATTCCAGCTGCGAGGCTTGGGGCGTGGTAAAGGGGTGGTTGGAGCCACGCATAGCCCATAAGGCTAGGGTGCCCCAAAGCACCCATTGCAGAGCAGGACCCACAAGGGGTCGGGGAGTCCATGGGGTCAGATATTACAACAAGCCGAGTCCAAGAGGATGTAAAGCAGCCTCCCATATATTTATTCTCCATCAAAGACATGGCGGGCGAGATGTGAGGGTGCCCTTTGGGCCAACTTGGCATGGAAGGGGGCCTTGGGGAGATCACAGCCATCCCGCAGGGCCTCGCGCTGTGATCCTGCCAGTTGACAACACCTGTCTTAGAACATTTAGAGGCCTAGGAAGTTCTAATTTGGCAGTTGCAGTCTTACTATCATGTTTAATAACTATATTGTGGGGTAAATCTTTGGACAGGAGTTATTCTTTTCATTGTAAGAAATGAACATGGATAATGCTTTAAATGGTTGGAAAATTTGTAATGAAACTCATCCCTGTGCAGACGGCCAGCATGACATTTATTCAAAAGTTCTGTCTTGCTCAGCCTTAATGAAGACGCCAAACAGTAATGTTTTCTCTGGTGCTAGGCTAAAGAGAACTCCAAAACCTTCTGCACTGGCCAGCAGAGCTGACCCCAAGCAGAAGGGTAAGAGTGTATATGTTGAAAACAGTCTTCCAGAGAGTCCTAGCAACACTGATGGAAAACCTTTTATCTCTGAACTCGAGGCCTCTGGAAACTCTATCGTGTGTGAGAAGTTTTTATATTGGTATCAGTATATTCCGTGACTCCATAACCACAGTGTAATTGTTAATATATATACACACACACACACACCTGTGCATACCTATAATACAATAATTAATAGAAAATGCACATATAAAACATTTCTTTAAAAGTCATTCTCTTGGCATAAGCAAAGTTTTGCCATTTTGTTTTTTCAGGTCGGCTGAATGCTGCCTTTGAAGTCATATGTGACAATGTTGGGAGAGATTGGAAAATGTTGATTCGAAAACTTGGAATTTCTGATGCAAAAATCGATAGAATTATGACAGCCAACCCTTATAATTTGCAAGAACAATTGATGCAGTCACTTCGAGAATGGCAGAAATGGAAAGGAAAGGAAGCTAAAGTTGCTGATGTAGTAAAAACCCTTCGGGATTGTAAAATGAACCTTGCAGCAGACAAAGTCGAAAAGGAACTTTCAAAACTGGAGATATGAAATCCATACAAAACCAGTTTTAATGATGCATTTGTTAATCCAGAGAATGTGGTGCAAAGTGACGGAGTACTGCCTAATCATCCAAATTGGACCTGGGCTCTTTTGGGTTTTTGTTCCTTTCTTTGCCATTTGCTTAGAGCTACTAGTCTGAATTTACATGCCCCCCCCCCAATATCAGAAGATGCTAATTTGTTTGGATGCTTCAGTTTTTGATGCTCACCCTGAGACTATTTAACTGATTTGAATTTTTTTTCCAGCAAAGGATAAACACTCTGAGAAACCTTACATTTTTCCCAGGTTAGGTGCCTAAAATCAGTAGTATCTTCTGAAAAGTCTGACCTTTGCTTCTGAGTGTTTCTGGTATTTGCATTCCTACATAGGCACTAAATTATAAAATTTTTGCTTCCCACTGCTGCAAAACTGGAATAGTACTATTAATCTATGGTGCCCATCTCAAAGAAAAATGCTGAGAGCCTTAATTAAATAATTCTTATAAAGGGTTTTGTATTTCTTGGATGAAGGGCTTCCTCTATGCAAAAGCATCTTGACTTTTGTGCATTCAAGAGCAAAGTTTCAGTTTCTTTAATAGCCATATCTCAACCTACCACTTTATTCAAGGAATTTTGCTTTTTATTTCAGTTGCTTTTAAATCTTTTTATCTTGAAACATACTCAGGCTGGCTGCTGTAGGAACAAGAATGTCAGATTTCTTGGGGGGTTTGGTGTTGGTCCATTTTTGTATTAAATCTGTGGTGCAGCATATGCCTAGCACCCTCCTTTGAACTATGAAACATCTCCTGCCAGATAGTGCTTATTTCACCATATCTTCTGACAGTTGCTGAAAGTCCTCATTTTCCACGGAAGGATACTACACCTCTATAGCACCAGGTCTTGAGGTTTTGAGTGGGAGGAACCTGGCTCCTATAGTAACTTTTCCTTACCTGTAAGTGGGCTTGTTTTCACAATAAAGTGCCTGAACCAAAGATTTTTATACTAAGTGCTGTCTCAACACTATGAAATACACAGATTCAAGGAACAGCATTTAAAATGCCCTCCTGAAGCACTAAAGCTTACTTCCTGTGCTTACCACTCTCTCAGGACTCCCTTCAAAATCATCACCAGAGGGGTGGTGTCCTGTGAGGGGTTGCTCCTTTTGATTCTACTCATTTTGGAAGTAAAGGATCATCCCATGGGGAAACTTAAAAAAAAAAAAAAAAAAACAAAAAACATTTCATGCTTTCATAACTAGCTTCTTTTGCAGAAAAAAGGAATGTTACCAAAGGAAATAACAATCCAGTCCTCTATAGTTTATCTATGGGAAGATCAGATCTTTCAGACACCTGGCTCTCACTGAAGATAGCTCTGGATGCAATTCCTTTCTCATGAGCTTTCTACAATTCTTTTTTTCATTCTGCTCCTTTACAATGACCTAAGCAGCCCACAATTGAGGCGTCTGAGCAAGGGCAACTTAAGGTAATACAGCGTCTTCTACAATTTAAAAATGTAGCCCTAACCCAAGCTCATGAAAACTGCATCTTCTTTAAAAGCTGCTGTGCCTAATTCACTCTTATTTTTGTCTAACTAAACAGCTACTATACAGATGTAGATCCAGGATTTCCCAAATCGGGGTGCAGGAGCAGCAACCCACACTGCCCTGGTGCCTGAACCTCTTGCTCCCAGCCTCCTCTGCCCATACCAATGTGGGCAGACCACCCTTGGGAGCCTCCAGGGACAACTCTAAGTCCCTAAAGCAGGTAAAAATCCCCCTTCTCTTCCTCAGCCTGCCACTACTGGTTTCCCTACTGTTCCAGGGGTGGGGGAAGCATCAGAGCTGTTCTGGGACTGGGCTCATCTAGGGATGGGGACAATGCCAACAGCAGGGCATAAAAGTAGTTCCCCTCTCCCCGACTCATGCCTTGGAAGCAGGTACAGAGAAAGGGATCTCCCGCACCCACCTGCAGCTGAGCCCAGCTCACATGCCGCCCAGCTGGGGTGGACATAAACAGCTCTGGTGCTTCCCATGCCCCCAGGACAGTGGGGAAAGCAACAGCATCAGGTGAGGAGAGAGATCTTCAGCTCCTTTAGGCTAGGAACAGAAATTACACATGAACTGTTATAAGTGATTAGAAATTGGTTCAAGTCTGTAGCACAACAGGGCTAGGGACAGACATTCAAAAATCCAGAGTCTGAACTGATTCAACCTTTGCAGGTTAGTCTAACCTGCCTAGGCTGAACTGGTTTGTAACAGGACAAACATTCTCTCCAGACTGAGGCAGGCACATGACTGCAGTTGCTCAGGTCAGGCACTGGGAGGTGCTAGAGCATGCCCTCAGTTGCAGGGAAGCTGTGCTGGGGGGGGCATGGCCAGTCTGAGCTGAACTGGCCAGAGAGGGGTTTAATTCCTCCTTCTCTATTCCACTGGCAGGGATCTGAGCCAGGTTGGCCAGGTGCTCCCCTCTGGCTGCTGCAGCAAGGTGGCACCATGGTCCCCAAGGCAGAGGGGGGCAGAAAAGAGAGTTAGTCTTCCCTCTACCCCCACTGGCAGCTGGGTCTGCCTGCCATTGCCGCCGTGCTCTCTGAATAGACCCTCTGCTGTCCTCTCCACCAGATAACAGAGGGAGGAGAAATAACCCCTGTCCCTGCACCCTCGTCCCCCTCCAAGGGGCCCTGCTGGTCGGTATCTGACTGCTCCCCTGCCCTGCTGCTGCAGCGGGAGGGAGAAGGGCCCTTGGTGGGGGCAGCAGTCCCTGTCATAATGTGGAGAAGCACAAGCCCCTTCCCAGCGGGGGTGCTGAGCTGCAGGGCCAGCAGAGCTGTGGCAAACTGCATGCAGCAGCACTAGAATCCAGAGTGGGCCAGAGCCTTGCAACCCCCCCCCCCTTCCTTTCCTCCTCCCCCCGTAGCACTGCTGCACTTTGCAGCAGCTCTCCCAGGCCCACAGAGCAGCCCCCACTGGGAAGGGGCTTGCACTCCAGGAAGCCATGGGGAGCTGTTGCCCATCATGGTCACTCGCTGCTCCAGCTGATGGATGGGGGGTGGAGCCTGGCTCCCACTGCTCAGTCTGTAGTTGGGGCAAGACCCCTCCCGGCAAGAGGGGATTTATTCAGCTACTGGCCTCAAGCACAGGCCGAGCGGCAGGGGGCGCCGGGCGCAGCCCGCTGCGCTGCCAGTGGCCAGCAGCCCGGAGCACAGAAATGCTCCTGGCACCGCAGTGGGGTCTGCCTGGCCCAGCCACTGCCATCACTCTGTGCTCAAGGCCAGCCCCCTCCTGGCAGGAGAGAGCTTATTCAGCCACTGGCCCTGAGCACAGGCCAACTGGCGGCTGCAGTCAGGCCATGCAGACCCTGCTGCAGTGCCAGCAGCCCCTCTGCATCTGGCCCCTTCCAGCCCCGATGCTGCTGCACACAGTCTGCCACAGCTCTGACAGCCCTGCAGCACAGTGCCCCCACTAGGAAGGGGCTACTGTCCCCAACAAGGACCCTGCCCCTTCCCACTGCAGCAGTGGAGAGGGGGCATGGCTAGGCAGGGCCCCTGGGGGCAGGGGGGAGGAGCATGGAACGCAGTAGCAAGGGTGGGCAGACCTGGCTGCCAGTGGGGGTAGAGGGGAGACTAACTCTCCTCCCTGCCCTCCTCTGCTTCAGAGGCCATGGTACCCCTCTGCTGCAGCAGCAAGGGGGGAATGCCCAGCAGACCTGCCAGCCTGATAGAGAGGGGGGGAATTAAATGCCTCCCTGGTCAGACCCCCCGCCCCTGCCTGTCCCTGTTTGGGCTGCAGATCAGAGGGGTGGGGCCAGCCTGGAGCAGAGAGCCCAGCCTAGAGAGCATGCCAGGATGCTGGGGGTCTCTGGTTTAACTTAGACCAGTAAGGGATCTGGGACAGACATTGCATAAACCAGTTTGAGCCAAATCAGTTAAGTCTGATACTACATTCAACCAGATTTACCTCAGACCAGTTTCAACCATTTTGAAACTGGTGTATGTGCACTGGATGTCTTTTCTTTTACAGGTTTAAACCAATTTCTGATCACTTAAACTGGTTTGTGTGTACTGTCTGTCCCTAGCCCAGAAGTTCAATGTGTATAAACTGCTTTCAAAATGTCTGAAACTGGTTTAAGATAACCTAAATCAATTTCTCCATCTATCCATCCAGGTTAAGTCAGTTACTGAATTTCTGTCCCAGATCCTCTCCAGATTCAAGTTAACCCCATCATCCCAGGATGCTTTGCACCTCCCCTGCAACACCCCCCCCCCCCCACCCCCCCCCCTCCCCCCGCGCCCC